AAAGTTTTTGCAGAGCTCAAGGCGTTCAAGATGGAGCTCAACAAGATCGAAAAGATGTTCAAGAAAGCGGGGCACATCTGCATATTCTTGGCGAAGTATCACCCAGAGCTCAACGCCATCGAGCGGTACTGGGGATACGTCAAGCACCTCCTTCGCCTCTCCTGCGAGTACTCTCTCCCGCATATGCTTGAGATTCTGCCAGGCGCCTTGAGTGGCGTCCCGCTGGGGTTTGTTCGCGGGTGGAGCAGGGTGACGTGGCTGTATCTCGAGGCCTACGACGAGGGATTGGTGGACTACCTCGAGGTCCGCGACCTCAAGAAGTGGTTGAGCCACCGTTCCCCCACGGAGAGGGGTGACTCCGTGGTTCTGGCGAGGGCAGGGGCAGGGAAGACGGAGGAGGAGAAGAAGAAAGCAGAGGAGAAGGCGCTAGCAGCCGCGCAGGAGCTGCGTACTGAGTCGATTAAGAGGGCGAAAAAGAATTTCAAATCGTTCAAGCAGAAAAGGGCGCTGCTCTCGCTGTGCGAAAAGCGCGAGCTGCGCCCGCGGTCGCGGTCGCCTTTAACTTTGAAGGAAGCGTTTAGGTTGTTGGTGAGATTCCTAGGAAAATAAGCTGTCCGAAACGCGCAAGCGTGGACGGAGGTGCGTGTCGTGGTGTTTGTGTTTTTGTATTTGTGGTGTTCACTTTAATTATAATCATTTTTGTGTGTTTGTGTCGTGGTGTTCGCTTTTGTAAATCGTGTCCTGTGAGGCGAGGGTTACCCGTTCAGAGCGTGTTTGGGCTCTTACCGGACATTTACAGTGTGATTGGGGGGTTCCGTGAAGAGGATAGGGGGCCCCGTGGGGGGTCGGGGGGGTAGGGGTTCCGTGGATCATTATGACCAAAAAGTCGCATTTTGTCCAAACACAAAAAACTCATCGGATATCGACGCAGCTCGACGCCGCCGTCACGGCCAAAGCAGTTTCACCTTCCAAATCGTTTTTGTTCGAAAGTTATCGCTAAAAAACAAAATGGACAAATTGTCCTGGACTGACCATAGAAGATCGACATCCGTAGATCGATGAACGACTTGGGCGGTGTAGCCAAGTGCTGCCCCCTCTTTGTAAACATGGTACCTTCATCAGCAACCAACTTGTACACACGTGTCTAGCAGAGCAGAGATCAAACGTGCTGTGTGACAGTCCCTCCCGGGACTGTCAGTTTTTGCGTGGCCTTTTTTAATCTGGCATGTTGGTGTTGTTATTGTTGTTTCTCACATTAGCTCTGTAGCCCACAAAAGTTGGGGAGCCCGTGGTCTCAAAACCCTCAACATACGACACCGCTGGGAAGCACAACAAAAATAGGGACAAACCACTCGGAAAAACAAAAAATGACAAAAAAAGAGAAATAACAGGTACCGCACCGACCGTTCGAGGAAAGAGCCCTCAGAAACCGATCATCAAAGTCAAACTGAAAAAAAAAAAGGAGGACGCTTCCCACACCCGCCAAAAATCAAAAAGTAACGTACCAGCACCAGGCACTACGCACCAGGGCATGGGAGTAACGGAGGAAACAGGACAAAGAGGCGGCAGATGGGCAGACAGCCAGATGTACAAAAGACAAAGGCAACAGCAAAAGCGAGATCAAGGTACCCAACGCCGCGGAGTAGGCAGGGAGGACATGAAAAAAAAGAAGCCGAGCACAGAGGCCGAAGGCAATACAAAGAACATTCAGTTGGCGCCCGCAGTTAAGAAACGCTTATTTCAGGTCCAGCCTCGAATTCTTTTTGTGGGCTTTAAACTCAGCGTATGTCGTTCAGTTTCTTATTTCAAGTTTCTTATATTATTTTCGTGCAGCCAAATCCTGCTGAATTTCTTAAATCGGCAATTTCTTATTTCTCTGCTTGCATACTACATACACAACATTCCAAATATACAACCCCGTACAACTCAACCCCGATTCTCACTACCGACGGCTCCACGTAAGGCCACTCCCTAGAAGCGAAATGTATCCAGCGGCAACGTCTCGCTATCGCTACAAGGTCCTGTACCCCCCTCATGAGTGAGGGCTGAAACTAAGCAAATGTAGAAACACCGCATGATGCCTCACCCGCACGCTGTAGTACCAACAACGAAAACTACCCCGTCATTATGTTGCAAGCTCCGTGAGGCGAACATTGGGGGTTGTCACCCTTTTGTGCCTCCCGCTCCCTTCCTTTCTTATTGAGACATTTCTTATTGTGTGACCAAGATTGAGCTTTGGTTCTTAACCCGTTTTCCTTTTTTTTCGTGAAAACGTGAGCCTCAATTTCTAAAAATATTTCTGAACTGCGGGCGCCAACTGTACACAAAGGAGTAGACTAAAGCATACAGCAGAGAGGGAAACAGGCAAAACATCAGCCGGATACGTTCGACCCGGTGGTCTAGTGGGTAACCTAGCAGCCTGCTAAGGGCCAGATCACGGGTTCGAGTTCCGGGCGAGTGAGTTTTTTCTCGCTAACTAAATCCTGTTCTAGGATGAAAGCGACGCGCTGCGAAGCTTTTTGATAGTAAACCACAGTCGACTTCGTAAGTCGCGAGGGAAGGGATTGCTGTACCCTTCTCGCGATAAAAATACCTCAGGCAGGAACCGCAGGAGGGGGTCCAGCCCCCCCCTTTTATGTGACCCCGGTTGGGTCGTCTAGCTAGTTGAAGTGGAGGATAGGGGCCAGAGGGGCAGAGGACAGAGTCCAATGATGGGAGAAAAAAAAAAAAAATGATACTTCGCCACAAGTGCTGCCTCGGCCGCCCTACTCGCTTCAACAGCAGTGCCCCCGGTCGCCGTCTCTTCCCCCCCACCGCCGCTTCCCCGACTCTCCCTCTCTTCCCGTACTCTCTGCTTCTGCTTCCCTCTCGCTAGAAAGCAGATATAAACGTTTGTCCGTACGCCACGGGTCGATGTCGCCCGCATGCTCCGGTGCCGCTGCTCCGTCCGGCGCCGCTGTAGTCAGCCCGAGCATAACGCCACTCGACCTGCTCCGTCCGTACACGCTCTCGTTGCTGTCCTTCCCAGTCGGTTCCTCGCTTTCTCCCTCGTTGCACTCAAGGTTCTTGGTCTGAAAAATAAAAATTCTCGCGCCGAAGGGGTCAACCAGCCCAGTTCAGCTCGTCGCCACCTGCTCCCTCCTCCTTTGATGGCGAAGCCAGGTTACTGAGGCAATGCAGCGCCCTCTAGCCAACCTAGGGCCGTGTACATAGTTCCCGTCCACCTTCTGACGGTGTCTGCCTCCGCGCACAAAAAATGAGATGGGCATCGCTGCCTACGCCGACGGCCAGAGGCCCGCGCATCTACATTTTTTCGCCTGACCCCATCAGTGCCGACCCAACTACACCACCACGCGCATGCCTCGCGGCGGATATGCGCAGCAGCAAGAAGGTTTCGGTCATCCCTTGAGGGTGAGTCTAGCCCTGCTCGCCAGAAAGACCCCCCCCTTCACTACAACCCATGTCTAAGCAAAAGCTTGTCGAGGAGCGAGGGGAACAAGGGAGAAGATTGTGTAGGTAGTATATCATCGCCTACTCTATCTCTCTTTTTTTTCTCGGTCTTTGCTTTGCCCCCCAGTCGTTGCCGTGCGTGTTTCTACGCAACAATATATATATGTCAAATAGAGTAGGCCCATGTCTGTCTATCTTTCTTCCGGCACTACATCATGATCATCAGAAGATGAAGATGGCTCTCGCACTTAAGAACTTGGCAGTTGAGAAATGCGGCCTCGAAAAAAAGTCAAAATCAAAGAAATTGTCGACAAATTAATAATTACAACAACAACACACGTGCGTGCTCAGGCCCGACGTGTTAAGAACAAGAACGAACCCGCATTTCTTTGTGGTGTAAGAACAGAGCCCCCAAAACGCGACAGCTGCAAGATATAGTAAGCACTCACGAAGGGGTGAGGGGCTACTCGCGGGGTGAACGGTGGGCAGTTAGTTGCAGATCAGCGGCGAGGAGGAGGTTCCTTTGAAAATAGTGCTGGTGGTGCGGAAATGGGGGGGGTGTAGTGTTTTTATTTTTGCGTNAAAAAGTCAAAATCAAAGAAATTGTCGACAAATTAATAATTACAACAACAACACACGTGCGTGCTCAGGCCCGACGTGTTAAGAACAAGAACGAACCCGCATTTCTTTGTGGTGTAAGAACAGAGCCCCCAAAACGCGACAGCTGCAAGATATAGTAAGCACTCACGAAGGGGTGAGGGGCTACTCGCGGGGTGAACGGTGGGCAGTTAGTTGCAGATCAGCGGCGAGGAGGAGGTTCCTTTGAAAATAGTGCTGGTGGTGCGGAAATGGGGGGGGTGTAGTGTTTTTATTTTTGCGTGTCCAACGGTAGTCAACAATAAAAAAATCGGTCTTACAAATGCCGGCACTCTTGAAGTTTTGTTTTTTTATATATGCCGCGAATGTCCGATAAATCGGTGTGTCGTGTACTCTGTTGACACGGGCTGGTACATAGTTTTCGCGCAAGGCATGGACATTCTCGGGCTTGGACGACCTCGCCTGCAACCAAGTATGGATACAAATTTCCCTTAACTGGGTTTGGACCGGCGTTTCGGAACCCTGCCTAACCTTGGAGGTTGGTAAAGGTGCGCCCGACCGGGTTACGCAGGTTGCACAACGCCTAGGGGTTACATGTCACGTTAACCCCCCCGTAACCGTGCCCACTGGCCACCTGTGTATCCCACGCCCCTCGGCATCGCTCCTAGCAGCACGCGTGTGTGTCTTTATTATTAGCATCGACCGCGATAACCGGCTAACCATTTTTCGTGGTGAGACGTGTACTATGTTTGGGTGCGATCGCTCGTCAGAGGCCGAAAGAGAAAGAAGGTTGACTCAAGACCTTGTTGCTTAGAGAGTGAGAGACATGCGGTAGGCCACACCATCGCCATGCAGCATGTCCGTCAATACATTCCATCCGTGTACCCCCCGGAGGCCCCGAAGACAGTATACTCTGCCTAGCACCCCAAACAGCACCCCTGCTCGGTACGAGATACGATCTACGAAATCCCCGACACGACTATCATTGCCAGACATAACGGCAGACAGAAAAACCAAAACCCCTATGCTAACAATAGATCATCCACCGTTCCAATCCAAACGACTCTGCCAATAGAACACGTCCCACGAAATCGCCGGATCTTCCAACAGAACACGTCCTGCAAAGCTTTCAAACCTTTTTGATGTCAAATTTCTACCCCTAAAAGGTCTGTCAAAAAAAACAAATCACCCTCTCGAGGAAAGGGCTCTACCCAATTCTCAAGCAGTCAAAACACGAACAATCACCCTTGGAAAAATACCCAGCAAAAAATCAACATTACATGAAAATCACGTCAGAACGGGANGCTTTCAAACCTTTTTGATGTCAAATTTCTACCCCTAAAAGGTCTGTCAAAAAAAACAAATCACCCTCTCGAGGAAAGGGCTCTACCCAATTCTCAAGCAGTCAAAACACGAACAATCACCCTTGGAAAAATACCCAGCAAAAAATCAACATTACATGAAAATCACGTCAGAACGGGAAGGACGGGTAACTCCGGGAAAACGTGTCTTACGTCCTGACTACTCAGAACAAATTCATTCCTCAGATAAATATTCATGTT